GCTCTTGTCAACGCACTCAGTCGATATATTAGTTTCGAATGCTTGACATACGCTTGGTCTCGAGCTTGGTCGTTACGGTCGCTTCTGGTCTTTTGGCTCAACGTGGTTTCGTCCTACGTCTGCAGCGTTTTCGGTCCGCATCCCTTACGAACACAATCTTCAGATTCTGTATACAAACCACTCTGGTGTGGCATGCCAACTCGAGCAACAAATACAGCACACCGCGCGCTTTTGAAGGTTGTAACTTTTTCACGTGGTATTATTTTATTTTCCTATTAGTTTTTCTCTTTAATTTAACACTTAATAGCGATAAATAATTCGTCACTGATAGGGTTCCGTCAACTTGACACCTGCAACAGGCCTGTATGTAACCATATCGACCTTAAAAACTTTGATATAAACTCCAATAATCTCACCACTGGTAGACCTAAAAGCAGCCAAACAGAACTTAGCCTCACCCAAACTATTCAAGACCTATTACCGTACAAATATTTAATCAGTGTTCCAGCAAATCCCGATCTGGAAATTATAAAAAAACACTGAAAAAGTTATTGACCACATATCAACTGAAGTGTTGAAAAGACTTCACTGTATGCAGAATGTCATTGTGTATAATATACCTGATAGTACGAACATAAAGATTGCTAAAAATACTCTACTACAAGGATGTGGATTGTCGCAATCTTGGTGTGTAACAAGAAGATTACGTAAAGCACACGCTAAAGCCTCCTGTTCCATTCTATTTCAGTTTGGTAGTACCATTGAAGCCAATCACCTCCCCAATAGTCAGTCATTACTGAGGCGTATTCCAACATTTAAAAAGATCAGGATCATTCATGACAGGACCGCTATCCAGCGTCGAATCTGCAATGGAACACAAACTGATCAACCCAGCCTACGTAACCGCGGCAGCTACAGCTCTTGTCACTGCACAAATCCTAAAGTATCATACACTGCCCCCCCCAAAAAAAAACGGAGGCACGCCGGACACTGCTATTAGTGCTAAGGACAAGACCGCACATAAAGCAGCTACAACCACTCACCCTCAGCCCAAACACTCAGCTACCCCAAAATGCCAAACCACTTATGCGTCAATATCGTCCAAGTATTACCCTAGCGGTCCCTATAAAATGCCTAAAAATGATCCTCCCAGGAATTGCGCTAACAGCTACAGACTCTCAGACACCGCTGTACGAAATAATACCAAACTCTCCGTAAAAACCCACCAATACTGCAGCACCCCTAACCTAAAACATGGACCTTCTCATAGCAATAGAATGCCCTACAACAAACATAGTGAACTGGCAACACCCACTCATCCTAATGTGAAACGACACTCGAAAGGAACCACACCCACACGTGATACTCATAAGTCATATAGTGTCAACCTTGTAAGCCCCATGAACCAACACAAAACTATACACAACAGAAACACCTCTCTTGGCAACAACAACAGGCATTCCTTCATTCCTTAACAGAAACATACAACCTCCCCAACTAACGACAATAGGACTAAAATTGCCCACCGCACACAAGGAGGTCACAACGTTGGCCTACTTGAGAACCCACCTACTGATTCTAGGTACTATCTAAGTCAAGCCACCCAATACAACGGTTTAGTCCCCCCTAATTCGACATACACACTATTTCATCCTTTTTTATCTCTCCCTTCCTCAACATTACTGCTATGAGGTCTCCAAATGTTGAGGGCGACAATCCCACTATTCTGAAACCATCTATATACTCCGATTTAATGGGGAGTGGCACATCCTTCTCAACTTCGATAACTGTCTCTAGTCTTGAAGACTCCTTGACTGAACCCTCTGATCATTCCCCGGACACATTACCTAACCATTCAATTCTACCTTCCACTCTTAGACATACTTCTTTCACCAAAACAACACCCGACTACCCTCCTCACATTAACCCTACTGGTAATAAACTAAACGCTCATCATTATGAAGTCAACACTCCCAATTCTCCCTTTTCTCATGGAAAAACAGACAAACCACTGGGTTTACATCATACCCTTCTACTAGACAAACAGTCACCGTACCTGACACTTATGTTAACCAACGCTCGATCTGTACAAAGTAAGATGACTTACCTACGCACCCTATTACTTCTAAACAACCCCTCACTTGTTTTGATGACGGAATGTTGGCTGTCATCCGATACCACAGACACATTCCTACAAATAGACACCTATGAGCTCTTCCGCTGTGATCGAGTCACCAAGGGCGGTGGTTGTTTCGTTTATGTATCGAAAAATTTGAGAGCGGAAATCTTTAGCGACCAAGTCCTCAGCAAACTTCCTGAATCCATATGGCTTACTGTGCACTCTCATGAATGTAAAATACTAATCGGATGCATATATCGAGTTCCTAACACTCCTAGTTCAACTGACACTATTATAAGTGAGTCATTTGCTCAGGCTGCCTCGCTTGACTTCACTTACAAAATTGTATGTGGTGATTTCAACCTTCCCACCATCAACTGGAAGACACATTCTGGCCCATTGTGCTTTGAAAGCATACTTAGGTCCTTAGACATGCATGGCTGGCAACAACATGTACACTTGCCTACACGAAATCACAACATTCTTGACTTGATATTCTGTCATAATGTCACACCAACATCAGTGGTGGTTGGCGAAAAGTTTCACAACAGCGATCATAAAATAGTCCTCTGCACCCTTCCGATTCTTGCCATATGCAACAAATTAAAGACATTAAACACACGATTCAAATAGAGAGACTATGCAAACGCTGACTGGGAAAACTTTCGATTTCTAATAAAGCACTCTGACTGACGCAGTTTCTTTGCCAGTAATAACCTCTTAGAAACACTAAAAATATTCAATATCACCACCAAATCTGCACTAGACACTACTATACCCTCTAAAATTGGTTTTAAAACAATTACTCCCTACATAAACCAAAAGACTAGGTCTAAACTGCGAAAACTGGAAAGGATGTACTATATATCAAAAGACTTCAGTGCCTTGCACCAGATATACTCTGTACTTGACGGAGTACAAAGTCAACACAACAAGCATAAACAGGTAGAGGAACGTACTGCGCTTGCTGCTGCATCTAAAGCCTAAGCCCTATGTCGTCTCCTCACGAAACGCATAAGAAAGAACACAGACAACAACATTCACTCCTTACTGCACGATGGAATAACGTATAATGACCAAACCGTCATATGCGAACTATTAAGTGAATGGTTTTCTCACAATGGGAATACATCTGATGCTCCAGACATCGACATAAAGTGCACCGGCAAAAACTATCTTAGTACCATAAACCTCGACATTAGGAGTATACATACTGCCATTAAAACCCTTAAGCCAAATGCGAGTTCTGGTGCCGATGACATCCCTTCAATCGTTTATAAAATGTCAGGACCAGACATACAGACGCTACTACTCAAAATATACACATTATCTTTAGGTACATATCCGGAAACCTGGAAGGTAACGTATGTTCTTCCCAAACACAAGTCCGGACCGAGAAACCTGGTTGATAACTACAGATCTATAAATATCACTCCAGCCATATCACGCATAATGGAAAAAGTGATACAAAATCAACTATCTGATCACCTACTCAAGGAAGATCTAATAGACCCGTCACAACACGGCTTCATTAGAACAAGGTCGTGCAGTACATGCCTGATAGACTTCTTTAACGAGGTTACTCGTATACGTGACCAGAATAAACTAGTTATTGTACTATACTTCGATATTATGAAAGCCTTCGATAGAGTATCTCATAATCTTCTAATCAACAGACTTAACTCAGTTGGAATTATAAATCCCCTTTTACAATGGATCAAGTCTTTTCTTACGAACAGATATCAAATAACCAAGATTAACTCTAATACATCAATACACCAATAACCAGTGGTGTTGTGCAGGGTAGTGTCTTGGGTCCATTGCTCTTTAGAATCTACATCAACAATATATGCAAGTGTTTTAGCACAGGTAAGATCTACCTCTATGCCGATGACTTAAAAGTCATCTATAAAACTGACATTTGCGATTTACGCAGTACTATGCAAACAATCCAACATGAACTCAACATGGTAGACGACTGGTGCAAACGCTGGAGGTTAGAGCTCAACACAGAGAAATGCGGCTGGTTATGTATAAGAGGCACGTCTCTTAAAACGAAACTTTCACTTGGAAATCACACACTGCCCAGACTGGCATCAGTAACTGATCTAGGGGTACATTACTCACACAGTCTTAATTTCTCTGAACACATCTCAGCCAAAGCATCCAAAATGCGGAAATTGCTTGGCTTCATTCTCAGTAATTTCTATCAAAATGAACCTAAAATCCTTCTTTACAAAGTTTGTGTAAGACCTATCGTTGAATACTGCTTGTTCTTATTTTCCAACCTACGCCTATCTGATATACTAAAGGTGGAAGGAATACAACGAGACCTCACCCGCAAAGTACTTAAGACTGACTCGGTCATTGACTACAGTTCCCGATGCCAAATCTTAGGAATAGCACCCCTTTGGGAAAGAAGGCTTAGGTCTAATTTGATTCTCTACTTCAAACTACTCAAAAACCTTACTTATTCAACATGTAAGATCATTCTCGCCCGAGATTCACATGAATACGGACTTCGAAACAAAGTATCTACGGTCAAAGTTGAGAAATACAGATCAAAAACTCGGGAAAACTTCTTCCTTACCAAGTATGCAATAATATGGAACAGTCTTCCCTCCAAAACTCGCATGGCAGATGAATTACATACGTTTGTAAAACTGCTTGATCAAGCCCTCATTTGCACTGATCTTGCACGTACGAACACATCTGCGCACCACTCAGACATCATAGGCTCTCTCCATGTCTAGACCAAAATGGACTTCAAGTTCAGTTTGTCTTATTTTTCCTACTTTGCAGTTTTATTAATTACCTTTTCCACCCTATTTCTTCACTTGAAGTAGACAGGTAACTCACTAGACCTATCATTACTGTTAAACTAAACTCGGTCGATAAGGGACACTCACTAACACCGTCAGAAAGTCAAGAGGACCGCACAATCGGCTGCCTAATACCAGCGGTCTTGCATCTATGGAGCCTGTTACCAATCAACTGGTTGGGACAACAGAAAATAACATCAGCACCAAGTTACTGTGAGTTCCTTCCTGTTTATCCTGTATTAACTTTTTACTCTTCTGTACACTATGTTGACTAGTGTAAGATCCAAACTACGTTTGGACTGCTGGACAGCTGTCTGGATGAGTTAGATACGCGCCCTCGCCCGATTGAAACCAAAACAAAGCAATTGGGTAAGATAGCGGTTCTATAATTTATCATAAAATTAAGTGTACATTATTACCTAAACAAATATAACCACTCAGCTATCCAACCAATAATTGTTCAATTGATCAAATCTAAACTACAATAAATAAGAAAGTTGATAAAGGATGCAAGAAAATTACCAATCACCACAAATAAATGTTATTCTATCCTGTCTGGATTGATCACGTACAGATTCGTTCAGAAGATAATAATTGGTCGCTCTATAACACAGAGTGTTTTCAATTCTGGAAGAGTGCTTCAATTCACAACCAAAATGCACAATTCCAGTCAACACAGGTCGAGCAATCAAAAGCAGGAACAAACCAAAATGGCTGCCGCCCAGACTTAGTATAAAGTAAAACAACAAGTGCAGTTCGGGAAGAAACATGGGGAATTAGTGAAGGTGTAGTAAAAACGAAAACTATAATAAAATACAGATATTAACAATTCAAATGTAGCCAAAAAGTTAACAATGTACAACTAAGAGGATCAATAGGAACAAAGTTCAAGTATATACATGGAGGGATTTTCACAAACACATAAGCATTCAAAATGGATCTTACACCGGCCCCCAAAATCCCTCCATATCACACAAGCTACCTTGATGCCTATGGTCATGGTTCATTATGTAGCATATGACACTATAGGAACGAGTAGGACTTACAACAGTACGCCCACTCGACCTACCTACATTAATAACAACAAAGACTAATCCGAAGCTTCAAGGAGACCTGTTTCACTTGCTCTCTGGTGTTCAACAATAACACTCGTGGTATAGACTTAGTCACTCTTCCCCAAACTCCACCCATGCTGTTGGATGAGAGCCTCGCTGACAATTCACTATTTATCTTCTGCTGATCCGACTGTTGCACAAACTTCCTTAACTCAGAAAATGCCCACACGAAGCTTGACGCACTGTCACTGTAAATCTCCGGAGGTTTCCTTCTTCTTCCAATACAACGTAATAAGGCCATTATAAATGAATCAGTAATCAAACTACACATCATTTCAATATGTACTGCCCATGTTTGCAAACAAGAAAACACATATCCATACCCTTTTTCTAATGATCTTCCTATGTGTCCTTGTTCTTTAGGACAATGTCTAATAATCATTTCCGTCACTAAGTGTCGACTGGGTAAAGTTACTGGATGTTTAAAGGCATTTGGGGAATCTGAGTATCTTAGTCGATCTCCAACGCAGAGTAACCCATCACACATTATCAATGCTAAACCTTTCAGACCATCATGACATATTACTTTACTGCTGTTTTTAAATTCACTAAGTAATTCTCCATACACTTCTCTCTGAGCCATCAATAAAATCTTACGCTTGGCAATACCAAGCTCTTTGACCTTTAAACATCCTAGATGAACGGATCCTTCATGACTCGGGGAACGAAGTACCACCAGGAATTCTATGAACCTTCTAAACCAGGCTACGGCCCTGACTAATTTCAACCACTCGGAGTAATAAGAGAGGATAGGTGACATGTTGTACTTTATACTACTCAAGTTGACCACAGCAGTTTTTCTAAACTCACTATCGTCAGAGAATATTTGTGCGGTCTTATTGAAGGCAAAGTTCGCACGAAACGGCGATGATGTGGTACCAAATGCATGATTTGTCATTTGAAACTCAGATGGTTCACTCGACATGTCCCCTTCCTGCCACCACAGAAATCTTGAAGCACCTCGACCAGACTCAGGGAACTTCACTTCCATGAACATTTCCTTAACATCTGCAGGGATTGCAACTGCCTCCTTGCGAAAACCTATTAATATACACCTTAACTCAGCAGTGGTATCGGGTTCTTGATAAATCATATCATTCATGGAAACCCCTGCAAACTCGGCGGCACAATCAAGGACCACTCTAAGTTCTTCTGGTTTCTTCATGTTTAACACTGCATAATGAGATGAATACCCTCGAGGGCGATAATTAGGCTGCAAATATATCTCAAGGACCCTCTCCGCATAAGTCTTAGTAAATTTACTCTCAATACTGTTGATATACCTGATGTGCAGACTGACATCCATCGACAATATACCCTTCAAACTTTGTAATCTACGGTTCGCTACTTCATAATTATCCTCTTTCATATTTGGATTCTTTTTCCACAGTATAGAAACTACAAAATGACCATTGTCGAAGCGCGTGCCCCTTTCCACAATCCTTATAGCCGCCTTGTCGTCTACTGATAATGATTTATCACTTGAATAAGCATCTGAAAACTCTACATCATAAAGCTCACGTATTTCGTTCTCTAATATCTGTACCTTACTGGTATGGTTAACAACTCTTTTCCTATATTCCGGGCATAGTGGCTTATCATTTACGACGTTGCTTGTCGAGTCAGTGTGCAGCAGAACGTGATGTCTCTTCTCACAACTGTCAACGTTACAGAGCCTTGTCATCTTACATTCATTAACTTTATGCCCTTGCCTAAGGCAGACAAAACAGATGCCATTGACCTTCGCGTGAGACCATCTCTCTTGAACGGTAAGCGCTAAAAAATTTGGACATTTATAAATAGCATTGTCCAGGGAACACACACTGCATTTAGCTCTCTCTTTCGAATTATTCTCCTGCTCCAATTGCAAGTGACAATTTGTCTTTAAGTTGTGTCCCTTTCTCGGACGATTCGCTAACCGTCCAAACCTACTATTAGCTACTCTCGCGCGGGATGCTTTAAATTGAGTAAGCTCGTCAAAGGTTGGTTTTCTATTATCTTCAGTCAATTCATCCACCCAGTCCGCCCACTGGGCTTGCATAACTTGAGGTAAGAGTCCTACTATTCTCTCTAAGGTAATTAGAGAATTTAAGTCGGCAGTATACTTCATCTGTTTCAAAACCATAGAACAATTTTCCATCCTAATAGCTAGATTTGTTAGTTGCTCAGGATCACTGTAATCAACATTTGTAGTTTTGAATAAGTCCTCTAAAGTTTCCCGAGCGATTACATGCGCCTGTCCGAACAACCGTTTTAGAATTTCTTTGGCCTTCTTGTAACCAAAAGAGGCTTCCAACATAACACAACCCTCAATGGCTGCTTTCGCTTTACCCTTACAATAATGTATCAAATAAAGCAAGCGTTGACCATCATCCTTGACCCTTGATTCCACATAGGTCTCAAACTCCCTTAAAAACTTCCAGTAACCTCTTGGTTGACCGTCGAAATAACTTAACTCAACCTTTGGTAACTCTGGACCTATGAAAAACGCCGTAGGCCTTACGCCTTTTGCTTGCTTCACGTCTAAATCAAGGTTTTCTATGCCATCTGCCATTATATCACAACTAGATTCACTATAATTACAATCGTCCCTATTAGAGTATGAACCATGACACATAGAAGCATCAGAAGGCACTTGCCTTGATTGAGAGGATCCATCCTTTTGTTCTTCTCTTTTAACATCCACGAGCCTTGGACTTAATTTCCTTCGACGATTGTTTGGCATCGCAAGCGAACGACCAAATATTCCCAGAGACGATGATTGGAATCAACGAAACGAAAGCCAAGCGAATTCGACCAAAATATTTGTTTAGAACTGTAAGATCCAAACTACGTTTGTTTTACTTTATACTAAGTCTGGGCGGCAGCCATTTTGGTTTGTTCCTGCTTTTGATTGCTCGACCTGTGTTGACTGGAATTGTGCATTTTGGTTGTGAATTGAAGCACTCTTCCAGAATTGAAAACACTCTGTGTTATAGAGCGACCAATTATTATCTTCTGAACGAATCTGTACGTGATCTATCCAGACAGGATAGAATAACATTTATTTGTGGTGATTGGTAATTTTCTTGCATCCTTTATCAACTTTCTTATTTATTGTAGTTTAGATTTGATCAATTGAACAATTATTGGTTGGATAGCTGAGTGGTTATATTTGTTTAGGTAATAATGTACACTTAATTTTATGATAAATTATAGAACCGCTATCTTACCCAATTGCTTTGTTTTGGTTTCAATCGGGCGAGGGCGCGTATCTAACTCATCCAGACAGCTGTCCAGCAGTCCAAACGTAGTTTGGATCTTACAACTAGCAATTAATATTATTTCTCCACTCGTTCCCTTATCCACAACTCATATACTTTATACTTTTTCCGCCTGCTTAAACAAACAACTATCCTACAATATACCCTTCTTAACGCTTATACTCTGATTGACAAACTATACTTTATACTATAGTCAACAGAGGCACTGCATCGATGCTTTACCCACAGTCCATAGCTTGTAACTGCCTGATAAGCTTGTAAAATGATACTTATAGAAATAGTGCTTTCCAACAGGCTGTGAAACAGGATTGTGTGAGGTATGACGTATATACAAAAATAAGCCTAAATGAGCCTAACATTACAAAAAGAGGGAGGGTGAAGTTACTGACCAGCAAGCATTGATGGTGAGGGCGATAACTTCAATCCACCCGTGTTTGTGGGGGCAGAACATTTTGTATGTATCAGGCTCCTCATGATTGAGAATAAGTCAATCAATCTGTGATATAGATTGTCTTCCTACGCTCACCACTCAGACTCATGTTTCCAATATTATGCTGGATTAGCTATTCTACTAAGACAACCTATAACATGCTAACTCGGACTTTCACACTAGGATTGTGTGGCTGGCATCGTATAGACGAAAAAAGGAAAAAAACTAGATAACAAAAGATATAGTCATTAGTATTCTTAACACTTCACCCTCTATATACACACCCTTCTAATAAACCGCTTCCCTTGTACCAACCTTGACTTTCCTTCCTTCATGTTAGCTTACTCCAACTTATTAAACATCACAACTCATTGTTCGTTATTAGTACACTCTCTAATATGGAGCCTCTGACTTCATTTCACTCTAACAAGACATAATATAAATTTTTTCTAATTTATTATACCTCTAACCGTTCTACTACACAATGTTAAGCAACGTTTGGCGCTCATATCCAAGTGCCTTGCTGCTCTTCTGTTTCTCTTTTTTTCTTCTTCAGAATCTGGCTCTGAGAGCACAGCTATGAAACTTCTGACGTTTGGAACAAACTTGACGTACGCGTCCTCTCAAGATTATAGTTTACAGCAAGCACTCTACGATTTTACTTTATAACAACTATGAACTTAATAAGTTGGGAAACATTTTGTGAACCAAAAAATGTTGTAATTTATAGATCATGCCTGTAAAAACGGTGTGTACCTGCACATGCAGAAATATATTATTATTATTACCGTTCTTCGAAAAAGACCTTAGTTAGCAACTCGACGATCAATGATCGCTTTCTTGTTCCGCCAATTCTTCCGTCTTACAATCGCTCGTCAGCCAACCAGTCTCACGATTTAAACCGCTACTTATCAAAAGTGTAAACCCTTTCTATCGGGGGGCTCCTGTAGTGACTCACTTTTATCACAAGAACACGATTGGTTTAATGAAAACAATTATTATTATAACCAATTGTACCTGTGCTTGTTTAATGTGCTCTTTGTTTGACTGTGCTAATGGCAGCTATATTATGCCTCCATTATTATTCACACACTTTGATTGTGACCTCGCGCGAGTTCGGTTACGTTCTGTAACCAAGCTTGTATCCTGGCACGATCTCGGTATCTTTTCGATACCACGAGATCGCCAGCGAATATATCTCGATTTGGTCCATTAACTGGCTTCTGATATTTGACTTCTCGGGGATTTTATGGATTTATTTGGCACATGTTTTTTGGTAGCGGTGTTCAATGTCTACCGCGACTCGACACCATGCTACAATGCATTCGAAACAGGAAATATGGTACACTGCTGTTGTTATTTCCAAGTTTGAACAACTTTCGTTTTCTGTCGACACTAAATACCTGAAAACTTTAAATTCATGAAATTTCTTTTCATTCACAGTCTAATAGGTATCTTAGAAAGAATCCGTTTCTTTACATAATCTTCAAGTGGTAAGTTCAAAATTATACAAATCATTCCATCACGAACATTTGTAAGTCTAGTAAAAATATATAATGGCTTCTTCTAGGCACTATCAAATACAATATAGTATTCCTCTTGACTTATATGGGATTATTAGGTTTTTGATATCCCAAGCCAAAACCATCACTCACAAACTTTAATAAGGCATATGGTTCCTGAAAAGATATTTTCTTCTCTACAGCCACCTGGAACAATATGCTTTTTTAATTAGTTGTAATATTTATCCACGCCTGATATGTCTTTAGCAAATTGCACGTACACTGAAATTCGAGTTGGTATTTGAACGAGCACCTTGAAGATGGCACAGGTATTCAGTGTTTGACAACGCTTTTACCAGCAACTCCTTCTAATATAATTCGTACCCACCAAGAGAAATCGAAAGACAGAATCGAGGACATCGGAAGAGTGTATTTGGCGATTACTAATATATCGGAATTTTCTGATCTAATCTGGCTAGCGATTGCGGTAGATGTTGAGCACAGCATTACCACACGTGATCTGATGCGGATACATGACCGAGAGCCTTCAGCTAGGTGAGTCCACTAAAACTAATCTAGTCAGCATCCAATGTCGAAAACTTACAGAGTTATTTATTTTTGGGATTTATTTTCCGCTACAACCTATTTGTATATTGACCAAGTTGTTAATATTGTTATATTCTAGCAGGATCTATGGTAATCCTATACAAAATGTGCATTTTATCAGCAATTACAAAACAAATCTTATCCGACAACAAGTTGAAGCCGCTCAAGCG